GACTAGACTCTAGATAGACTAGCTTAGACTAGACTATAGGACTCGACTATAGACGTAGACTATAGACTAGCTATAGACTAGACTATAGACTAGAGTATAGACTAGACTATAGACTAGACTATAGACTAGACTATAGACTTAGACTATAGACTAGACGACTATAGACGACTATATAGACTATAGACTAGACTTAGACTAGACTAACATAGACTAGACTATAGCTAGACTATAATAGACATAGATAGACTATAGACTAGACTATAGACTAGACTAACTAGACTATACTAGACTATAGACTAATATAGACTAGACTATAGACTATACTATAGACTAGACTATAGACTAGACTTGACTAACTAACTAGACTTAGACTAACTATAGACTACTATAGACTAGACTATATACTAGACTACTAGACTATAGACTAGACTATACTATCTAACTATTATAAGACTATGACGATTTATAGACAGACTATAGCTATTTATAGACTGACGATACTATAGACTAGACTAGACGTACTTTCTCACCTAATTTTCATATTTTTTCTAAAAAGTTAAAGTATGGCATAGAATTATTTTGTGTAAAAATTAAACTCATTAAACTTGAATGATTCACTCAAAAGGCCCGACTTTAGAATTTCTTTTTAGACTCCTTTAACTGAATCACAATCTATTTTTGTGGATTAACTTATAATGTATTTAACAAGACTAAATTATATACTCATTTTGTATTTGTTGTCATATTTCTCTAGAATTTCACGCATTAGGAAGATTTATACAGATCACTGATCTTTATGAGTCATAGGTATTTAAGCAAATACCTACTTATTCATATATTTTTAACTACATTAAGTTAATGTTTTCTTTTTATTTATATTTTAGTCATCGAAACAAAAATTATTTTTTTTTTAATAATTTATAATGAATTGTCATGATTGCAATTTATTTATGGCGTACTCAGACACTATTAATTTAATTATATTTGCAAGCGATTTTTAATAAAATTTATGAAGGATTTGAAAGTATTGTCTATTGAAATGAAAGTTGTGGGAATTGATAAAGTTATTAATAGAATTAGTTTTATTAGAAAAAGGGAAATGTATATGAATTAGAATTGTTTAGCGAATGTTAATGACAAGTAAAAGTTTCAGAGAAAAACTGAATAAAAGGGAATTGAACAAGATTCGGATAAGATTTAGGCTTGAAACCAAATTTACTAAAATCCGAAATTGTATTTCGAAAAATATAATATTTTGCCATTTTATAAAACATTTCTATAAAAATCACTTAACTTGTCAATGCCTAAACAATAAAACAACAACACTGACAATAATTTATCGCAAAATTAAACTTTAATAACATTTTATAATAATTAATGTTGTTTTTACAATTAAAAATACAAAAATCACAAGAACCACTATAATAAAAAAAATATTCAGATAAAAAAAGCGAAACCTCTCGAGAAGAATAAAATAAACTATTAAAGATAAGCTTCAATAATAAAATAATTATAAATTAAAAATTATATTTTATGAAGAACCTAATGTCATAAACTACTATAATGTAGAATTTAAAGAAAAAAACTGGATATTACTTTTTAATTTACAACATTTTTCATTAATTTGATGAAAGAAACATAAATATTAGAGGCTTAAACTAAAATATGTAAATTGTTGATCAAGTCATAATTTTTGTTATCTTTTGTAACACATTTTATGAAAAAAAAGTTAAAAGATTTTGAAAGAAATACCAGTTTTGTTTATTTCCAAATTAGTTTTTGTGATCAATATATTTAATCATGCATTTTAGGGTAATAAATCATTGAACTATATATACAGATATGGGTAAACATGAGGCACACACGATACTCAAGGTTCATTCAATTAATCAAAAAGTTATTGACATTTTAAGGTTTAAAACGGTATCAGGTAATTAAAGCAAATTGGTAAATGTTTAGAAGTCCTAAAGAAACTAGAACTATAACTGGTCAAATAGTGCAAATTAAATTCTAAAGGGTTTATAATCTCACCTCAGGGATTTCCCGGTCTCATCGACTAACATATTAGGCAAATACTAGATGTCACATAGCGGCTTTCAAGTAGTCAACACGCCTATCTTAAGGGACATTTTACTGTAACATGAGGTTGTTCGAGATATAGAAAGATCTCTCGTATTAAAACAGTGCAGTCTTCGTCAATAATCTCTTACTAAAGAAACTAGAACTATAACTGGTCAAATAAATTCTAAAGGGTTTATAATCTCACTAACATATTAGGCAAATACTAGATGGCACATCGCGGCTTTCAAGTAGTCAACACGCCTACCTTAAGGGACATTCTACAGCGATATGAGGTTGTCTGAATTTAAACAGTGCAGTCTTCGTCAATAATCTCTTACTAATCTCGATGACGAAGAGTAGTATATCAGTAACTGAATAGTTACATCAAATTTTGGTAACAGCATTAAGTCCAAGCAAGTGGAACGAGGCACACCTCAGGGCGGTATAATTTCTTCACTACTTTAGTTCAATATTGTTAAAAACCTCGATTCGTATTGAACTGGATAATAGCGGGATACAAGTTGATACTATATTGTGACAACATGTCCAATACCTGGAACGTGCTCACCAAATGGGTCACACTCAAGTAAGACAGAACTGGAACTATTCACAACAAAAACAAAGAATCCAAGCTTCAAGTCACGTTCCTTATTAAACAATTCTAGATATCTAGACTCTTCTAAATTCTAGTCTCCAAATTATAATGGACGCTAAGCATCCAACATAAAGTCAGAAAAGCAACCTACTAACCTGTCGTAAGATGTTTGGAAGGAAATGGCGAATGTATAGATATATAGTACGTCCTATTTTTATATATGGATCATTTGTATGGTGGACTTAGATTAAAAAAAATCTTATTGTAATCAACTATACAAATATCAGAAATCAGGGTGTATTGGAATAACAAGAACTCTAAGATCTAATCTATCAGTTCATATAGACTTTTATCCGGATGTTGAAGTTCAAGAACATGTTAGGATTTTAAATCTACTTAGGATTTATTTTAAATCTATATTAGGATTTTAAATCTACTACCCTCAATCGCGAGCTAACCATCCGACCATTCTACCTCAACACAGACTTGGATAGAGTATTCAAAGTCGGAGTTCTTTCTAGGAATGAATATAACGCAAGGAGTTATACAGTTGGTTTTAAAATGTACTGTGGTATTGGTTCTGGAGTTTTCGCGAATAAACCGGGATAAGCATCTCTCGCCGTTAACAACTATAGCGTTTTTCAGGCTGAAATATTTGCGATAATGAGCTCAATGTTCGTGACAACATAGGATAGCTACTACCCAAGACCTACAACAGTACCCCAGTTTGGGTCCCTGCAAATATGGACTACTATGGATGGAAATGAACAGATAGATGAGCTAGTCAGAACGAGATTTACGCTGGAGATCTTTAAAGCCGTTTCAGTAGCAATTCCGTTGGGATTTATCAAAAGTATTATCCTCAGGTTCTTCAAAAGGCCAAACATATATGCAATAATCCAGACAGATGTAGAGATTCCAAGTTAATGTGTTTCCTCCTTTCAATGAGAGACTCACGAGGCAACTTATAAACCGAAACAGCTGGGATATAACGTGTCTATTGTCAGTAATAACTGTACACTGGGTCCTAGACAGACATGCAAGACGGCACGGCCTATTTTAAAGAATTTTGTTGAAATAGATGAAAGAGGAAACTGTCTTCCAGTTCCTCCTCCTTCTCTGCTAATGCCCTACCCTAGCTGTCAAGAGGAATAAATTCTTAGGAAGATGCACTATACCCAACTACTTATAAACCGAAACAGGTTGGGTATAACGAGGTTTTTGGCAGTAATAACTGTACACTGGGTGCTAGACAGACATGCAAGTCGGCACGGCCTATTTTAAAGGAATTTGGCGCAATAGATGAAGGAGGAAACTGTCTTCCAGTTCCTCCTCCTCTGCTAATGCCCTACCCTAGCTGTCAAGAGGAATAAATTCTTAGGAAGATGCACTGTACCCAACCCTGGTGAAGTATCTGGGTTCAAACTTGTGAACAGCACTAGCAGGAAAAGCTTTTTTACCAAAAATACACAGTTTGTTCGCAACCTGTTTTGAATAGGTCAGTAGTTGAACCACACTGTCTGAACGGAGTCTCTTATCTGCTAAAACGGGATCCAGGACCTCCTGAAACTACGTTTATAGCCTGATTAATGATGTGCACCTTCTGAAAGTAACATGGTTACTGTCAGTATTTTTGGGTCAAAAAGCGCGGCTTGGAATTACTTTGGTTACAGGCATCGTGATCTTTAACAATGGACAGGTTATGTCCATGGCTTTGAATATCGTACTCATGTGTTACAGTACGATATCGGATCCCTTAATTAGCAACCTAACATATGTTTATACTAGAACTTATACTTAAGCGGGTAATAATGAACTGATTGTGGGATTGATGCTCTAAATGTGAAAAACCTTCGGCCCACTCTTGTCATTGAGCCACCTCTGGGCTCAATTAAATTGAGTTTAGGCTGTGCTAAAAAAAAATGTTAATAAGAAACACGCAAACCAGGGTTAACAACAGTAATTTGACATTCAGTCCGAACGACACGCAGCGCATGCAGCAACATTACAAGCGGTTGTTGCAATTTGACAAAACGCAATTTTCTTTATAAAAATTAATAAATTTTTAACAAAAAATTATTCTTAAAATCTTAAGTAAAGGCTTAGAAGATTTAATATTCTACACATGCTCCAAATTTAAAAGCCTAAAAACGTGCTTATAATGATTTATTTCAATATTAAAAAAAATAATTAAAAATATATATTTTTTTACACAAGTTTTTTGTTTGTTTTGTTTTGTTTTCAATGTAAACAACAGCAAAACAAAACTCCTTTTCAAAATAAAAACACCTTTTGTTGTTGTTCTTAATGCGTTGAGAACAATAACAAAAACACACACACATACTATAATACACTTCAGTAACAACAACGCATGATCACCTTGATGCGCCACTGATCATTTGTTTATTATTATTTTGTTTCTTTCTCTTTTTTTTTACTTTTGATTCTTTTTATTTCCAAACAAATTCTTTTTGTATAGAATATTTTTCTTATAAATTTTTTTTACTCACTTTAATTTTAAAAACTTTTATTTACTTGTGATTTTTTTTGTTATTTTTTTTAAATTGATTTTTTTAAATAATTTTCCACTTCAATTATTTTCTATATTTTAGCATTATTTTTATTTTATTTATTTAATCTAACTACAAAAACACTTCATCATCACTTTTTTATAATTGTTGTTGTGCCTTCAAATCACTTTGAAACGTTTGATCGATCGCGTTTAGTTTTTTTTTTTGTTTTGTTTTTGTGATTTCAATTCAATAACAAACAAAAATCAAAATAAACCGTATTATTTTGTCGTTATACCACGTATCGAGCGTGAGCGTGAGAAGATCGCGTGTTATGGGTTCAACAGACGTCGTTGTACTGATATTTGAACGTTATAACGACAAACAATGCTCGGAAGTTGTTGCTTTTGGTTGGTATTAAATAAAAACTGGCTGCAACAACAATGTTATACCAAATGATATTAACAAAACAACAAAATTAGGGTGACCACAGTTGGAGTTTTAGTTCAACATAAAAAATATCACCCTAAATCTCTATAACGTTGTAAATATAAAGTCCAAAAACTTATCTTAAACTATTTATATCAATCTGCTCCAGATCGCTATATAAACTTCTGATAATATTTTTAATTTCAGTACGAATTCTATGATTAAATTTTGTAAGGATGAGTACATAACCGACGTTAGTTAGTTGGTTGGTTAATTAGTTAGTTAGTTTATTAATTAGTTTATTAGTTAGTTTATTAATTAGTTAGTTAGTTAGTTAGTTAGTTAGGTAGTTAGTTAGTTAGTTAGTTAGTTAGTTAGTTAGTTAGTAGTTAGTTAGTTAGTTAGTTAGTAGTTAGTTAGTTAGTTAGTTAGTTAGTTAGTTAGTTAGTTAGTTAGTTAGTAGTTAGTAGTTAGTTAGTTAGTTAGTTAGTAGTTAGTTAGTTAGTTAGTTAGTTAGTAGTTAGTTAGTTAGTTAGTTAGTTAGTTAGTTAGTTAGTTAGTTAGTTAGTTAGTTAGTTAGTTAGTTAGTTAGTAGTTAGTTAGTTAGTTAGTTAGTTAGTTAGTTAGTTAGTTAGTTAGTTAGTTAGTTAGTTAGTTAGTTAGTTAGTTAGTTAGTTAGTTAGTTAGTTAGTAGTTAGTTAGTTAGTTAGTTAGTTAGTTAGTTAGTTAGTTAGTTAGTTAGTTAGTTAGTTAGTTAGTTAGTTAGTTAGTTAGTTAGTTAGTTAGTTAGTTAGTTAGTTAGTTAGTTAGTTAGTTAGTTAGTTAGTTAGTTAGTTAGTTAGTTAGTTAGTTAGTTAGTTAGTTAGTTAGTTAGTTAGTTAGTTAGTTAGTTAGTTAGTTAGTTAGTTAGTTAGTTAGTTAGTTAGTAGTTCTAGTTAGTTAGTTAGTTAGTTAGTTAGTTAGTTAGTTAGTTAGTTAGTTAGTTAGTTAGTTAGTTAGTTAGTTAGTTAGTTAGTTAGTTAGTTAGTTAGTTAGTTAGTTAGTTAGTAGTAGTTAGTTAGTTAGTTAGTTAGTAGTTAGTTAGTTAGTTAGTTAGTTAGTTAGTTAGTTAGTTAGTGTAGTTAGTTAGTTAGTTAGTTAGTTAGTTAGTTAGTTAGTTAGTTAGTTAGTAGTTAGTTAGTTAGTAGTTAGTTAGTTAGTTAGTTAGTTAGTTAGTTAGTTAGTTAGTTAGTTAGTTAGTTAGTTCGTAGTTAGTTAGTTAGTTAGTTAGTTAGTTAGTTAGTTAGTAGTAGTTAGTTAGTTAGTTAGTTAGTTAGTTAGTTAGTTAGTTAGTAGTAGTTAGTTAGTTAGTTAGTTAGTTAGTTAGTTAGTTAGTTAGTTAGTTAGTTAGTGAGTTAGTTAGTGAGTTAGTAGTTAGTTAGTTAGTTAGGGTTAGTTAGTTAGTTAGTTAGTTAGTTAGTTAGTTAGTAGTTAGTAGTCGTAGTTAGTTAGTAGTTAGTTAGTTAGTTAGTTAGTTAGTTAGTTAGTTAGTTAGTTAGTTAGTTAGTTAGTTAGTTAGTTAGTTAGTTAGTTAGTTAGTTAGTTAGTTAGTTAGTTAGTTAGTTAGTTAGTTAGTTAGTTAGTTAGTTAGTTAGTTAGTAGTTAGTTAGTTAGTTAGTTAGTTAGTAGTTAGTTAGTTAGTTAGTTAGTTAGTTAGTTAGTTAGTTAGTTAGTTAGTAGTTAGTTAGTTAGTTAGTTAGTTAGTTAGTTAGTTAGTAGTTAGTTAGTTAGTTAGGTTAGTTAGTTAGTTAGTTAGTTAGTTAGTTAGTTAGTTAGTTAGTTAGTTAGTTAGTTAGTTAGTTAGTTAGTTAGTTAGTTAGTTAGTTAGTTAGTTAGTTAGTTAGTTAGTTAGTTAGTTAGTTAGTTAGTTAGTTAGTTAGTTAGTTAGTTAGTTAGTTATTCAGTTATTCAGTTATTCAGTTATTCAGTTAGTTACTTAGTTAGTTAGTTAGTTAGTTAGTTAGTTAGTTAGTTAGTTAGTTAGTTAGTTAGTTAGTTAGTTAGTTAGTTAGTTAGTTAGTTACTTAGTTACTTAGTTACTTAGTTACTTAGTTACTTAGTTAGTTAGTTAGTTAGTTAGTTAGTAGTTAGTTACTTAGTTAGTTAGTTAGTTAGTTAGTTAGTAGTTACTTAGTTAGTTAGTTACTTAGTTAGTTAGTTAGTTAGTTAGTTAGTTAGTTAGTTAGTTACTTAGTTAGTTAGTTAGTTAGTTAGTTAGTTAGTTAGTTAGTTAGTTAGTTAGTTAGTTAGTTAGTTAGTTAGTTAGTTAGTTAGTTAGTTAGTTAGTTAGTTAGTTAGTTAGTTAGTTAGTTAGTTAGTAGTTAGTAGTTAGTTAGTTAGTTAGTTAGTTAGTTAGTTAGTTAGTTAGTTAGTTAGTTAGTTAGTTAGTTAGTTAGTTAGTAGTTAGTTAGTTAGTTAGTTAGTTAGTTAGTTAGTTAGTAGTTAGTTAGTTAGTTAGTTAGTAGTTAGTTAGTTAGTTAGTTAGTTAGTTAGTTAGTTAGTTAGTTAGTTAGTTAGTTAGTTAGTTAGTTAGTTAGTTAGTTAGTTAGTTAGTTAGTTAGTTAGTTAGTTAGTTAGTTAGTTAGTTAGTTAGTTAGTTAGTTAGTTAGTTAGTTAGTTAGTTAGTTAGTTAGTTAGTTAGTTAGTTAGTTAGTTAGTTAGTTAGTTAGTTAGTTAGTTAGTAGTTAGTTAGTTAGTTAGTTAGTTAGTTAGTTAGTTAGTTACTTAGTTAGTTAGTTACTTAGTTAGTTAGTTAGTTAGTTAGTTACTTAGTTAGTTAGTTAGTTAGTTAGTAGTTAGTTAGTTAGTTAGTTAGTTAGTTAGTTAGTTAGTTAGTTAGTTAGTTAGTTAGTTAGTTAGTTAGTTAGTTAGTTAGTTAGTTAGTTAGTAGTTAGTTAGTTAGTTAGTTAGTTAGTTAGTTAGTTAGTTAGTTAGTTAGTTAGTTAGTTAGTTAGTTAGTTAGTTAGTTAGTTAGTTAGTTAGTTAGTTAGTTAGTTAGTTAGTTAGTTAGTTAGTTAGTAGTTAGTAGTTAGTTAGTAGTTAGTTAGTTAGTTAGTTAGTTAGTTAGTTAGTTAGTTAGTTAGTTAGTTAGTTAGTTAGTTAGTTAGTTAGTTAGTTAGTTAGTTAGTTAGTTAGTTAGTTAGTTAGTTAGTTAGTTAGTTAGTTAGTAGTTAGTTAGTTAGTTAGTTAGTTAGTTACTTAGTTAGTTAGTTAGTTAGTTAGTTAGTAGTTAGTTAGTTAGTTAGTTAGTTAGTTAGTTAGTTAGTTAGTTAGTTAGTTAGTTAGTTAGTAGTTAGTTAGTTAGTTAGTTAGTTAGTTAGTTAGTTAGTTAGTTAGTTAGTTAGTTAGTTAGTTAGTTAGTTAGTTAGTTAGTTAGTTAGTTAGTTAGTTAGTTAGTTAGTTAGTTAGTTAGTTAGTTAGTTAGTTAGTAGTTAGTTAGTTAGTTAGTTAGTTAGTTAGTTAGTTAGTTAGTTAGTTAGTTAGTTAGTTAGTTAGTTAGTTAGTTAGTTAGTTAGTTAGTAGTTAGTTAGTTAGTTAGTTAGTTAGTTAGTTAGTTAGTTAGTAGTTAGTTAGTTAGTTATACAGTTATACAGTTAGTTAGTCACTTAGTTAGAACTTCCCACAATGTGTCTCGAAAGCCGTGCGATTTTACACCTCCTGTTTATTTCCTATAAGGCCTTTGGAAGTCGCTACTTTATGCTGACCAACAACCGACAATTCTCATCTTATAGGCAAACATTGTTCACGTTAGCAATACTCAAAAAAGTAACCAATATTGGACGTTCTCAGTGGGCTTAGTAAAGAACAGCCACGGTGGTCTTATACATGAAATCATTCTAATGATCTTCTCCATGAAATTAAAAAACTAACCCGAACCTATGTAATTTGCTGCATATTAATTCTTTCAATTACATTATTTTCTTCGATCACATTCAAAGATCACTCTCAACGTTCACTTATTAGACCAATTTCGCTGAGTGTTCAATGATCTGAAATATGTAATACGAACCCTTATAAATAAAACAACCCTTAACTGATTGTTTAGAATACTTTAACAAGATACATACATAATAATTATATTTAAAATCCAAAAACTAAGCATTTTCCAATAAGAATCTAACAAAATTGCCCAAAAATTTATGCCAGGTGCATTAAAACAAAATTTACTTGCAAAAATATAGAAGTAATTTAAAGTCAAGGACAAAACCATAAATTTTAAGAACTCGAAGATGTTAAGCTGAGGAATGCTATACCGTTGGACTGAATTCAACAATTTAAAATCTGAGAATTTTCTTAATAAAATTTAATTATCATTATAAAAAGTCTAATATCTTTAATACACTGTTGAAACATAAATAAAACTTTGTTGAGTGATTGCTGTTACAGAAAAAGTGACTGCAGCTGTCAAATTCAACCACTTTTTACTACTCCATATTACACATTTGGCTCATTTACTATATAAACCCTTTAAATTTACTTAGTTTAGTCCACATACCGTTATTTTAAAAACCGATCTGGTCACCTTTTAGTAAAATACACATAACCTTTTTGAGACGCATCTGTGTCTCTCATGTTCAAAATGTTTCATTTGGACTTCGAATAAAACGTCAACAATGTATATGTATGTATATATGTAGTTGTTTTTGTTTTGTTTTGTCGCTGTCATTATGTGATTGTCACTTTTGTACATGTGAGTGGGTATGTTTGTTGGATTTATTCGTATGCCAAAGATTTTGAGATGCTTCTCCACTTTTCTCACTCCACATTGTGGATGCATTTATAGCGATAAAATGTGACCAACTAATTATAATTAAATTTAAAATAGACTATAAAATAAACAATAGTCTGGTCCATGGAATTGGACTATAAAAAGACTATAGTATGGACTATGGAATAGACTAT